GAGCGATGAATTAGACTTACGTGGTAGGAGGGAAGGGTAAGAAAAAAAAGAAAGATCTGGAATTTGAAAAGGGAAGGTTAGGAGCAGACTGATCTAGATGAGGAACAGAAGTAGAGGGCAAGGTCGAGAAGATAATGAGGACAGAAGCCATATAACATTAGTCCAGGTCACCAGGGAAAGAAACACTGCTGAAGATGTCCAGGTAAAAGGAACCAGATTAAATATAATGCACACAAGAAGGAAAGAAGGAATACAGTCAAGAGGAACGTAAACCTACCCAATGAGTCCCAACAACAGGGGAACAAGTTAAGGAGGAATAGAGCAGAAGTGGAACAGGACAAGCTGGCAAAGAGAAGGGAACGAACGTCTACAGAAACCCATTTGAAGCATGAAGAAGTGCCTTAGATAAAAGGCAGTTAGGAGAGAGTATATAGGAGGGTAGAGAGAAAAGGACGAAAATGTAAGAATGTGGAACCATAAAGAGAAATGGAAGGCAAGAAGCCAGATCTCCAAGTTGGCCAAAGAGATATTAAGGACAGGGAATTGAGAAAATGAAAAGAAAGAAAATTTACAAGTCAGGACAAAAGGAGTCACAAACGCAAATGGAATGAGGAATTAGGCTGTGAGAAAGGGGCTATTTGAGAAAGGAAACAGTATAAATCCTAATAACAAAAAAAAGGAGAAAAAAAATACCAAGAATTATGGATCATGCAGTAAAAACTGAGAAATGATAAAGGACACAGGCAAAATATAAGAAAAGGAACACACCTGAGAATGAAATCCAGATAGAAATGGGAAGGTTAAGGTCATTTCTTGAATGTGAAGGTATTACCCAAAGCAAATTAAGTTAACATTGTAGTCCAATAAGTCATTTCTGACTGAGGAGAAAGAAATTCAGTCAACAAGACAAAAGTAGGAGGCCCAGTAAACATGTGGTAATTCACAATATGTTGAATAATGGCTACAACAACCCTGACAACTAACAAGCCTCCAGAAGCCATAGTAGAAATAAGGCCTGAGTGTGAACAATATCACTCACACGGGACTAAGTATAAATCATCATCATTTGAGAATTAATGATAAAAATTAAATCTTTTGAAACAAAAGCCATGAAAACGAAAACCAAAATTTCTTTAACAATGCAAATCTCAATAAACTGAGACCAGAAAATAAATTAAACACATCTGTTCAATACAATGCCGAAGAGAAGAACTAAATTATCATGAGTGCAAGTGAATAGGGGGGAGTTACTGTGCATAGAGGTTGTGTAGTCCTTCTATTGGTGGAGGACTTTTGTTGCATGATGACATAAATTAGACACATCTGTTCAATACAATGCCGAAGAGAAGAACTAAATTATCATGAATGCAAGTGAATAGGGGGGAGTTACTGTGCATAGAGGTTGTGTAGTCCTTCTATTGGTGGAGGACTTTTGTTGCATGATGACATCATCGTGCACCAATGCATTTCACGTTAAAACTTGTGAAGTTAGGTGGGAGTTGCCTCAAGGCTAGTGGCATGTAAATCTCTTAGGCAGAGGCATGAGGAAGACAGCTGAACTATGTGAAGAGGCGAGTTATCATCTAGAGTTAGAAATTCAACAGAAAATTAGCCACTACAATGTGTATAAATACAACTATATACATGTACATGTCCTAGGATACAAAATCCATGTGTAACATCACACAATACCAAATTATATTTGTGTGAGGTTTATAGTGAGCTTTGAATGTCAGAGTTGAAGTGTGTTGAAGCTGGAAACTTCATTCTTAAAACATTATGTAAGCACTACAAATTGACGTTGAAAAATAAGCACATATATTTTTAGAATGTGTTGTAGATACTGGATTGCTTAATGGAAATGTCTAATTACAAGAAAATATTTTTCATCAAAAATATTTGAAAGAAAAACTAAACTTATTCTGATTACTATTGCTTGAACTGAGAATGTAGTAAATACTATTATGGGAGAAAATCTTGTATACAAATCACATCGTGACTTGTATAAAAGCATCAAGACTCACGGTAGCGAGTCATGCAGCCAAGGAAAAGTAAACACACGTGCTCCAAAACATGCAGCCACTACCAAGAGTCTTTTTACATAAAGTAATTGTGTACAAAATTGGCCCCTCTGAGACTCATCCATTGTAACAGCTATACTTTAGATATTCCAGACTATAAACCAACAAAACATTAGTAGTTAGCATATAAAAATGAAACAAATCCTTGGAACCATTGCTGAGATATAGCCTAACCAAATCAGACCATATTGTTCATTTTCACACACCCAATTTGTTCTTATGGTCCACATTTAATTTTCAAACCCCAGCTATCATCACAACCTTTGTCCCGTTGTTTTGAAATTAACATCATTACTTCCTTCATGTTCACTCTACTAGCAGTAGAGCTTGTGGCTCGAAACAATAAGTTTGATGACCTACAGGGTTGGCTTTATCTAAAACAAAATCTAGATTTTAAATTTCCTTTAAACTTAAAGTGATAAGCAATTCCATTACTTGTGTTTTTGTTCAAAATTTCATGGAATTCTGACAAGTAGTTTTCTTGTAAAGAGCTTGTAAAATCATAAGTTGCCTTTGAGAATGGGTGGAATTTAGACTGGCTTCCTGTGTAAACTCCTTTGTTCAAGCTAATAGATTTGTTTGCAAGTTTAATTCATAAGTTTATTTTCTGTACACATAAGTCTATATACTCTTGCACACTGTAGCTGTATAACCATAGGACTTGCTTGTATTCCAGTATTATTTACTATTCACTATGTGAGGGGTATGTGTTTACTGTCCAGAGTTTATTCACATTTATCTACTAATATATAAACTTTGTAAGTAGTTTTGTCTGACTGGCAATCTTTGAGCAGAATTGTTCAAGTTTTAACTATTACTCACTATTGAAGTGTGGTATTAACTTGTTGTGTGTGCCTAGTGCTAACATTAGCAAGGATTTTATGTCCTTAAATATACCCATAACAAAGGTATATGATATCTAAACCAAAAAGAGATTGGCTGTAAAAAAAAAGTGATGCTAAGAAAAAAAGTTATTTGTTATACAAACAGCAACTAAAAGAATTGATATCAAAATGCAGCCAAGGCAATCAATATTTTTGAATACATTGTTTAAAATTGCTTTCTAATGAAAGTAAACTCTATGTTTGGTTTAGAATTATTTTGTTATCATGTTTGTCAATTTTATTAACGATAGCACAAGTATGAGTTATTTCTCATTTGGCTGCATACTAACATACACATAATCATACACAAAAATGGCCAAATGAAAAGTAATTCATATTTGTGCTATCATTAATAATAACTCAACAAACATGATAACAAAATAAATCTAAACCAAACATAGAGTTTACTTTCATTAGCAAAGCAATTTTAAACAATGTATCCAATAATATTGATTGCCTTTGTCACAGTCTGATATCAGTTCTTTTAGTCACTGTTTGTATAACGAATAACTTTTTTATTGGCTGTGTTTTCTTTTTTTACATGTTTACATAACATATTACACAGTAGATCTAAAAAAGAAGTCTAGTTTAAGTACTTGAAAAGGTTACAACAAATGAGTTTAAAAACATTTATCACCTCTCCAGATTTCTTGGCAGCAGACAAAAAGAAAGAACTATGCACCTCTGTAATGTGTATGGACAAAAGATGATCTGAAGGAAAAGATTTTTTACATTTGGAACAAACATGACGATGAATGCTGTTGTAGTGGCTTTCATAAGACTGGATGTTGTTAAAATTGGCTTGACAGCCTCCTTCACCACATCTGAATTCCTTATAACTGGAAAAAAGAATTAAAAGGATGAATATAAAGCTGATGACAAATAACAAAGTTGTGTAAAATAACATACAGAAGTACTATATTCTACACTTCATATATGTATCTATATATATATATATATGATGCACAACAAACTTTACATAACGTATGATCTTAAATTTGATCAATACCCAAATCATATCAATCATTTTGATGTTGTGATTAATGATATGTTTTAAGAAACAGATGTAAATAATTTTATTAGCAAATTCTTACAAGAACAGTGGTAATGCTGAGGGGAGGTGAGTGTGATCCCTGAAATTTGTCTGCCTTCCTTTTCACTTCCCCCAAGTTTTTCACTAAAAATGTTTAGCTAAAGCTACATCTCCCAGAATGAAATATACTCAGTTACTAGGCAACAACACACAACGAAAACCCACCCAACAAAACATTATCCAATCTCTCATTAGTTCTTAAAACTTCTTAATTTATCTTC